GGGCCAACGAAGGACGGGGGATCATGGCCGCCGGAGCGCTCGCGCTACTGGACGGGGACGACAGTGGGATGACGATCACGGGCGGCGGAGCGCTCACGCTGCTGGGCGGTGCCGACGGAGGACTAGCACTGGTGTACATGGCTGATGGAGGATGAGGAAGAGGGCTCAAGGACTGAGCCACTCGAGAGCTAGGGCACATCACTACTAGGAAAAGGGCTATAGATGGAAATGACATTAATGGCGCACCAGACATGTGGTGCGCCATTAGTATATACTAATGGCGCACCATGTGTTGGTGCGCCATTAGTGTCCAAATACTAATGGCGCACCACATCCACGGTGCGCCATTAGTAACAAATTTTTTTTTATTTTTTTTCAAAACTATTAATGGCGCCGTGGGAGTGGTGCACCATTACTAGTTAAACTAGTAATGGCGCACCACATCCACGGTGCGCCACTAGTAAATTATTTTAAAAAAAATCCAAATTTTTTTATTTATTTTTTCAAAACTAGTAATGGCGCACCAGTGGACAGTGCGCCATTACTAGTTTTACTAGTTAAAACTAGTAATGGCGCACTATCAACTGGTGCGCCATTACTAAGTTTTTTTTAAAAAAAAATCGGAATTTGTTTTTGTTTTTTCAAAACTACTAATGGCGCACCACCCCCACGGTGCGCCATTACTAACTTGGCCCAAAACGTACCGAATGCACCCCCCCCTGTGGACCGCCTTTTTAGTTTTAAAAAAATAAAAGAAAATGATGGAAATGTCAAAAAAATAAAAGAAAATAAGTTTCCTATGTGCTATGTGGTCTAGTTGTTGGGAAAATTTACAAATATGAATTTCGACTTTATTTGCAAAATCTCTCTGAAATTTGTAAAATGGGCATAACTTTTGCATACGAACTCGGATTAAAAAGTTTTTTATATGAAAAATCATCTACTCGAAAAGTTACATCCGAATTTAAGCGGGGGAACCCCGTTAAACATTTTCAAAATCCCCAAAAACCTAACAGAAAAAAAGTTACGGGGCTTTTAAGATCCGGAGGGAAAAAATTCAAAAAATTTCAAACTTACTAGTGGCGCACCGTATGCTAGGTGCACCACTAGTAACAGAAAAAAATTGGTTTCGAAAAAAATTGAATTATATTTCAAAATATGATACGTAATATGACCGGGAAGTTTGAAATATTTTTTCAAACTTTTATCATACTCATGAACATGAACAAAGTCCTAGACATCAGCAAGGTTTAATAGGATTGATATGATAGATATATCAACAAGTGCATGTGAAGTGAGGTGGTGCTGGGGTTGGATAGAACTATGAAGTTAAGCGTGCTTGGGCTAGAGTAGTGTGAGGATGGGTGACCTTCCGGGAAGTTTGACCACAGAGTACGATTTGACCTAGGATTAAGCATATTGATTCGAGATTAAGCCATAGTGACCCGAGATTAAGAAAAAATTTGAAAAAAATTGAAAAAAAATTAAAAAAAATTGAAAAAAAATTATTACTAATGGCGCACTTCTATGTGGGGCGGCATTACTAAGTCAGATAGTAATGGCGCACCTCTAGGCATACTAATGGCGCACTACTGGTGCGCCATTAGTATCTGGTATACTAATGGCGCACCAGTGGTGCGCGTGCTACTAATGGCGCACCAGTAGTGCGCCATTAGTATGCAAAACTGGTGCGCCATTAGTAGGCCTTTTCCTAGTAGTGCATGGCGTTCTACACATGACGAGGCTTCATGGCGGCCGCCAAGTCGCAATCTAGTCGCCGCCGCCTGGGTCGAGATTCGTTTTGCTTTTTTTTTCTAGTTCGCTAAATCTTTCACAATACAGAACATAAGCACATGGAGTTATGTGCAAAAGAATTGTTAAGTGGATGACCATATTCCCACCTCCGATCTCTGTTGTACGTCCTTGATCCGATGGACTAGGGTGATAGTTTTCAGTTTTTACTGATCAAGCGTTTTCACTTGATACTTCGCCTAGTCAGATTACTTGTAAGGCTTATAGTGATGTGCATTACCGAGAGGGCCAAAGATACCTCTCGGACAATCAGAGTGACAAATCCTAATCTCGATCTATGCCAACTCAACAAACACCATTGGAGACACCTGTAGAGCATATTTATAATCACCCAGTTACGTTGTGACGTTTGATAGCACACTAAGTGTTCCTCTGGTATTCGGGGGTTGCATAATCCCATAGTACTAGGAACATGTATAAGTCATGAAGAAAGCAATAGCAATAAACTAAACGATCATAGTGCTAAGCTAAGGGATCGGTCTTGTCCATCACATCATTCTCTAATTATGTGATCCCGTTCATCCAATGAGAACACATGTCTATGGTCAGGAAACTTAACCATCTTTGATTAACGAGCTAGTCAAGTAGAGGCATACTAGGGACACTCTGTTTGTCCATGTATTCACACTTGTACTAGGTTTCCGGTTAATACAATTCTACCATGAATAATAATGATTTATCATGATATAAGGAATATAAATAACAACTTTATTATTGCCTCTAGGGAATATTTCCTTCAATTACTACATACCATGTACTGAATGGATGAGAATACAAGATAAAGGCTTACACTCGCCACAAGCTACAACGTGAATACATGAATACATCAATACTTAGCAATCATCATACAGAAGAGCAGGATCCGACTACGAATGAAATCAAACAAAAAAGAAGAACAACATCCACCCTGCTAATCCCAGGCTCCCTGACCCGGAACCTAAATCCCTTGATCAAAGAAGAAGCAGTAGAAGAACTCCAAAAGAAGCAAGCATCGCACTCACGTCAGATCATCACATTACATGTACCTACAGCTGTTGTTATAGTAATCTGTGAGCCATGAGGACCCAGCAATCCCATTACCATGGGTATCAAGACTAGCAAAGCTTAATGGGTATGGAAAGGATAAGTAGTGAGGTTGCAACAGCGGCTAAGCAATGTATGATGGCTAACTTACGAGTACAAGAGTAAGCTGAGAAACTACGCAAACGGTCGCAAACTAGTAATGATCAATAAGTGATCCTGAACTACTTACGTTCAAACATAACCCAACTGTGTTCTCCTCTTGAACTTCCCCGGAAAGAGACAGTCATGGTTACGCACGCGGTTGTTGTATTTTAATTGAGTTTACTTCAAGTCCTCTACAACTGGATATTAACAAATTTCCATCTGCCACATAACCGCAGGCATGGCTCTCGAAAGTTTAAACCCTGCAGGGGTGTCCCAACATATCCCATGACAAGCTCACGATCCGTGGAGACAATCCTCCATCGCGGGACCCTCCGACCAGACTCGGAATCCCGGTGGACAAGACATTTCAACAATGGTAAAACAAGTCCAGCAAGACCTCACGACGTGCCGACACCCTGATAGTAGCCGCGCGTATCTAGTCTTAGGCCACGGCGGATGAGCGACGCGTATAGGTACCAAAATACCCCAAGTTTCCAAGGGGCGTCCCCGCACAATGCTCTATTTTGGGACCAACACCATTGGCACTGGCCCCCTGTATGTAGAAATAATCCTCGGGTTCATGACACCCTATGCCAATTAATTATTTAGTTCAAGTATTATCATGGCAAATGTTAAAACCAATGTTGGGCCTTGTTGGAAGAGTTTTATTCAAAGCTAACTATCAAGAGGGGCCCATAAACCCTCACCATGTTAGGGATGCAAAATCAAGGAACATAACACGGGTATGACGGAAACTAGGGCGGCAAGAGTGGAACAAAACACCAGGCAAAAGGCCGAGCCTTCCACCCTTTACCAAGTATATAGTTGCATTAATTAAATAAGAGATATTGTGATATCCCACGACATCCATGTCCCAACATGGAACAACCTACAACTGCACCTGCAACTGCACCTGCAACTAGCAACACTATAAGAGGGGCTGAGCAAAGCGGTAACATAGCCAAACAACGGCTTGCTAGGACGGGTGAAAAGGTTAGAGGCTATCATGGCAATTTGGGAGGCTTGAGAAACAAGTGGTAGGTAGCGCGACATAGCAATAGCATCGAGACAACTAGCATAGCAAAGACAGTAGTGAGATCCAAGGTGACGGTCATCTTGCCTGAAATCCCGCTAGGAAGAAGATCGAATCAATGAAGTAGACGGGTCAGCGTAGGTGAAAAGGTTAGAGGCTATCAATGAAGTATGCCATGTTTACCGAAGATATCAAGGAGAAGCGCAACCGGAAAGAAGGAAACATCATGGTAAACAACCATCACATAAACATGGCATGATGCACAATCAAGTATGATGCATGTCCGTTTTAATAAGGAATGGCATGGCAAAGTGCAACAAACAATACTACAAATTAAGTGGAGCTCAATATGCGACTAGTTGCATATTGACGAAACTTCACATCAATTATTTAGTTCTCTCTCGTTTATGAACAAGATAAGATTAAATGTGGTTAAACATGGCAAGACGCGAAACGTAATTAAATTAACTATTTAGGCAAGTTTAAATGAGGCCGGAAATACCAAACAACAATTCCGGAAAATGCCCATATGCATATAGCAATTTAATGCAAACAACAATTTTAAACATTTTAAATGTTGTTATCATGATGCGAATGAGATATACAAGTTTATGCAATATTATGAAAATGTTACATCAGCATGTTCTGAAGCATTTGTCACCGTGGTGGAAAGAAAGGTTGTCACGGCGACGAATCTGAATATGATGCCACGGCAACATATCGGTTCCGGTAGCTCACGGAGATACCGGTGCAAAAGGAAGTGTGGATGTGCGAAACATGCAAGAGTGACGCGGAGTGATCCCGGTTACCGGGTGTCCCACGTGTCGAGGATGGTGCCAAACGAGGGAACAACTAACGTTCGCGTGCAGATACAACATCCAAACATGCATCTCAAACAACACACATGCATTCATTCACGAGCATTGTCTCGGCAGTTATACCTTCGAAGCGTGCATTTTTCGGGGCAGGCGGGTTCGATGCGATGGAGATGTTCACGGATCATCATGGAAGTAGTGGTACTTTCAGTCCTCGATGGCGGTAATGGTACATGTTTTCATAGTTGTTCGGGGTCGTCGGTAGTTGTACACAGTCCGTAGATGGTCAGGGTCACGACAAGGAACTTGACGTCCACAGGGTCTTGGAGGGTCGACGGTAGTGGTACCCACGTCGTTGTGAAAGTAGAGGCTCATGCGATGGTAGTCGAACTTGACGTATCTGAGGGCTCCGAACGTCATGGTACTTGGCCTTCTTGGCCATTCCAGAGACGGGGTAGCGGTACTTGACACATCACCATGTAGTCGTGCACTTGTCGAAGAGGATCTTGGCGCATCCAACATGAAGCAACACAAAAGGGCCTCGGGTCTTGGTGGTCAACAAAGAGAGGCGGCCCTGGATGGAGCTGTGAGTAGAGGACAAACAGGGACTTGGCGCCTGGTGCAACCGGCGATTGACGAGGAGGCGAAGATGGAGCAGGTCCGGCAAGGGGAGGTGCAGGGTGGCAGAGCAGGGAACTTGGCGCGGCGGTGGCCTGTCCTTGTAGAGGAGGTCGAGGCAGAGGTGGGACATGGCGCCAGCGGGACTTGGCGCTAAGGAAGGATGTCCAGTGGGGCACCGATCCTGCCAGATCAAAGCGGAGGAGGGACAACGGTCTTGGAGCTCGGTCATTAGTCACCCATGGCGATGCATCGGCGGCAAAGGCGTGGCGTTGGTCGTGGTCACCAGCGGCGACCGGACGTGACGACGGGATGGCGAGGCAGAGCAGAGGCTCGTCGGACAGCAGCGGTCATCGGAGCGTGCCGTGGTGGCGCCGAATCGAAAAGGCCCAAGGGTGCGAGAAGGGGTGCGAGTGCCATGGCCAGAGGGAGAGGCTGAGGGGATCGAGCGAGAGGAGGGGCGGGTGCGGCCTCCTGGCGCTGGCTTTGTGTGGTGGCAGCGCACAGGGATGGGGATCGGGATGAGAGTGGGAGGACGAGAGGAGCTAGGTTAAAGGGTTAGGTGGGTAGCGGGTTGGGCTAAAGGGCCGGCCTAGTTGCTGGTTGCGGCTGGGCTATAGGAAGGCTAGGGAGAGAGAAGGAGATGGGCCAACCTGGAAACTAAATTGGTCTTCCATTTCCATTTATAAAATAATTAGAACTTTGGAGAAAAGAAAGAGAGAGTTAGAAAAAGAATTAGACCAACGGAGATATTTTCCCTAGATCAAGAAATAAGAAGGATTTACCAAAAATGGTTGGAAGAGGTTTTGGCAATCTAAATCCAAACTCATTTGAATTTAATTCAAATGGTTTGAACTAGGACTAGGATTTAGAAGTGCCCAAAAATGTTGAGAATTTAGAAAGAGCCTCGATAGATGGGAAAAGAATTATAGGCAAGGCTACAGAATCAAAACTTGAAGAAGGAAAGGCCTGCACGTGTGTTGTGGTAACTTCCAAATTAATGGAATATAATTTTTATAGATCCCTAATAATATTGGGAGGATATGTGTTATAAAGAGAAATCACCATGTGAATTCCCTCGATTTAAATAGATCAACGATCTATGCAGTTTATTTAGCTGAGCTTTGAAAAGGGTTGCAAGACGACATGATGCAATGATGAATGCACTAGACAAATAAAACACATGGCGAAACTCGGAATCCACGGAAGGCATCTTGAGCGTCGGTCTCGGGGTGTCACAACACTCCTCCACTTACAAGAGATCTCTCCCCGAGATCTAGGGATGGCACCGGAGAGAAGCGGAAGAGCAAAAGGTAAAACAAAGTTGCTTCTTTGACAAATGAGTGAAACCATGAACCTTGATAGGTTGAACAACTTGAAAGAAAGAATACAACGGAGACAAAGAAGATTGCAAACACTCTATCGTGGTATTCTCAGGGGGGTTTGCGAGACGATAGATGCCACGGGGTGGCTTGAGGTGAGGGCAAGACTGTCGCCGAAATATCTGGGGACGGGTATGCAAGTAGCACACACTAGTTTACCCAGGTTCAGGACTCTCCGGAGAGATAATACCCCTACTCCTGCATGTCTGAATATATGTGGTATATCTGCAGTACAGAGTGCTCCTGGAGCTGTATCTGTGCCATAGGCATCTGGCTTTTATATGTCTCATATGTGTGTATGAGCTGGCTAGCAAGTGGGAGTGGAGTGCTCCCAGGGAGCAATTGTGGCCGGCCAAGTGTGTGTGGCGTGAGCATGTATGCATGCGTGTGAGAGTGAGGAGTGGATGGATGGC